CAGCTGGGAATGCCCCCTCCTCTTCAGCTGCCCACTTTTATCTGTCCAGGATTTGTTTTGAGAGACACATTTGGATGCAGGTGGTGCTGCGGCTAGGCGAGGGTGCTCAGGGAAGCTAGGGCGAGGATGTGCAGGGAAGCCCAGCTGACTCTTTCTGAGAAACCTGAAACCGCAATTCCTTCTGCTTCAGGTATGCTCAGAGCAGCACAGCAGAAGACAGACACCTGGGCACCGCATGCTGGCAGGATAAGGAGCAAGCTGGTAATCTGTGAGCTCATAGGAAGACCTCAGGAGAGAAAGGTGTGCTCCAGCTGGCAGCTCCCATCCCCAAGAGGCATTCATTTGAACCTCCACAGATCTGATTTCTGATTCCAATCCTCCAACAACTGGTTCTGGCAGAAGGATTTATCTAAATGATCTCATCCCACCAACAAGAGGTACATGAAGACCGTCCCCCACCCCAGGGTCTTACTGACCTCCATGTGGAGACTGTCCCCACCCTGAGGTCATACGCAGCTCCGTTCAGCTGCTCCTGTCAGACCTGCCCTGGTGACCCACGGATGGTGACCTCACTGTTCAAATATGATAAGCCAGTCTTCCTCATGAATGCCGGACAGTGGACAGAGATGCACGCCAGACAGAAACAGCGGCTGCTGAAGATGGAAGTACAGCCACATCCGCCTCGGGGTCCTCCAGCCTCATTTCATCCATGGTTCTTTGACACAGCAGTCTCAACTGTTTGCTTTTCTTTCTTTTTCTCTTTGGATTTGATAATTTTTGTATCCTATAAAATTCATTGTATAAATATATTTTGCTGCACAGTTAATCCCTAAAATATAGTTTATTCATTCATTCATTTGCTTGTTTTTTGAGACAGAGGCTCACTATATTGCCCTAGCTGGGCTGGAACTCACTATGAAGACCAGGCTAGCTTTGAACTCACAAAGATCTGCCTATCTATGCCTCCTGAAATCCTGACTAGTTTGTTTTATCTTGTACATATGTATTTTGAAAGGTAAGTTTAAATCTTTGCATGTGTGTCTGTGTATGGTGTGTGTGTGTCTGCACGCGCACGTGCATGCATGCTTGTGCCCACGCATGTGTGTGTGTAGGATGAAGGCACCTATGTGGAAGTCAGAGGACAACCCGGGACATTAGTCCTCACTTTCCGTCTCTTGTTCACCACAGGGCATGCCATGCCAGCTGGTCCCATCTCAGTGCCGCTGAGACTGCAGATGCTCAATGAGTGTCTGGCTTTGTGTGCATCTGAGGACCTGACTAGATCTTCACGCTTTAGTGGCCACCACTCCACCCAACTTTTCAGTTATAAAACTCTTTTATGTGTACAGGTGTTGTGCCTGCCTGTGTCTTTGCATCTTGTGCACACCTAGAGCCTGCAGAGGCCAGAAAGGGGCCTCGGCTCCCTCTACAGTTGGTAGCACAATTGTAAACTGTCACGTGGTTTCTGGGAATTGAAACTAGGTCCTCTGGAAGAACAGCCAATACTCTCAGCTGCTGAACCATCTCTCCAGTCCCTTGAACACCTTTTATTTTCTTTTGGAGACAGGGTATCTCTTTATAACCCTGGCGGTCCTGGAACTTGCTACAGACCCGTAGACCACATTGGCCTTGAACTCACAGAGACCCACCTGCCTCTGCCTCCCAAGTGCTGGGATTAAAGGCACAGTTCAGCTTCCTTGAAAACTTTCAAACATAAAAAATAATCTTTTTTTTTTTTTTTAAAGAGGCACATCCAACAAAGAGTCGTTCTTCGTGTTCCCAGGCTGAGCTTCCTGTGCCAGGGCACATACCACATGGGAAACGGAAGCTTGTTCCCAGCCCCTGTCCTCCTTTGTCCTGCACAGGAGACTGCGTGCTGCTGATACACCTCTGGGAAGGTGCAGCTCAGCAATGGCCCAGAGAGTTTGCTGGATAAATGGGATGAGGGAACCAGTGTGATGGAGCACACCTACACCCCAGCACTCCAAGGATGGAGGCAGGAGGAACAGACATGCAAAAGTTGCCCTTAGCTACATAGAGAGTTTGAGGCCACTCTGGGCTGCACAAAACCCTATCTCAGAAAAGATATGAGCTGAGGGAATTATTTATGGATATCAATATAATTAACACGCAAACTGTGGCATTCATTCAATCAATCAATCAATAACAAGCAATTTGAAAGTAGAAGAAAATACAGCTTTCCATCTGTTTGCTTATTCTGGGAATAAGGGGACTTCAGAACCCTGATGTATGAGTGGGACACAGTATGATGAGAAGCCCATGGGGAAGCGGGTAAGTTAGAAACAACATGTTTGTGTGGTGTGACATTATATAGTCATTATAAAGAACACGGGGGTCATTGCCATTGTTGGTACAAGTGGAAAATTAGTGATTCCTTAAAATGTAAAAGTGGCATTATCACATGACCTAGCAATTCAACACACACAGAGATACACACACGCACGCAGTCATGAAACACACTCAAAAACTTCACTTAGTAGCATTATTTGTGATAGTAAAGAGTTCATCAGTTTATGAGTGGAAAAGTAAATTGTGTTGTGTAGGACATTATTTATTAATTATAAAGACAAACTATGCTAACTGAAAGATCACAAGACGATCCTATAGATTTTATGTCTATAAAATGTCTAAAATCAGCAGTTGGAGTTTTGTTGTTGTTACTGTTTCAAGATAAAGTTTCCTGTGCCCAGACTGGCCTGGAACTGGCTAACAGTCTGAAGATGACCTTGAAATTCTAATCCTCCTGCCTCTGCCCTCTGAGTGTACGTCAACACACCCAGTATACGCAGTGCCAGGATTCAAACCCAATGTCTTGTGTATGATAGGCAAGCACTCTACCAAAATGAGCTATATCCCAAGCCCCCAGGAGGTGGATATATAGACAGAAAGTAGATTGGTGGTAGCCTGAGGCTGTGCGTGCAGTAGAAACAGTGAGTGATGGGCAGGGAATGTTCTACAATTGACTGTGGAAATGGGAACACATTGAGTTGTGTGACTTAAGTTGGAAAGCTATATGTAAGTTATATAACAACAAAATACCTTTTTTTTCAGAGACAGGGTTTCTCTGTGTAGCTTTGGAGCCTGTCCCGGAACTTGCTCTGTAGACCAGGCTGGCCTTGAACTCAGAGATCTGCCTGCCTCTGCCTCCCAAGTGCTGGGATTAAAGATGTGCACCACCACTGTTCAGCCCAAAATAATTTTAAAAGATAGAGGAGGGTGTAGCCGGGCGGTGGTGGCGCACGCCTTTAATCCCAGCACTCGGGAGGCAGAGGCAGGCAGATCTCTGTGAGTTCGAGACCAGCCTGGTCTATAGAGCTAGTTCCAGGACAGGCTCCAAAACCACAGAGAAACCCTGTCTCGAAAAACCAAAAAAAAAAAAAAAAAAAAAAAGATAGAGGAGGGTGGGAAAGATGGCTCAGATGGTAAAGGTACTTGCTGCAATGACCACCTGAGTTTAAATTCTGGGGACCCACGTGGTAGGAGAGAGCTGATCCCTGTAAGTTGTACATGCACACTTTGGCACACATGTGCACACACACACACATTTATATATTATATATTTTAATATATACAAATATGTATATTTACATATTTTTGTTTAGTTTCTCTTTATTTTATTTATTTATTTATTTTTGATTTTTTGAGACAAGGTTTCTCTGTGTAGCTTTGGAACTTGTTCTGGAACTCGCTCTGTAGACCAGGCTGGCCTCAAACTCACAGGGATCTGCCTGTCTCTCCCTCCTGAGTGCTGGGATTAAAGGCATGTGCCACCGCTCTCTGGCCTGTTTTATAAATTAACAATAACAGCTTTGAAATGGAGTGAAGCTGGAGACTGCTCAGCAGGAGAGCACGTGCCTAGCCTGCATAAGACTCTGAATTCGATCCCAGGGTCGCAGGTCGGGGAGGAAGTGTACTTCAGTGCATACTGCTGGAGATAAAGTCATGTTTCTGGACAGCAGATATAATATGCTCCTCTTTTATTTATAAGAAATATATATGGACAGAAAGAGATAGGTATTGTTACAATCATAAAAAAAGGTCCGTGACGGTCCACACCAAGCTTGCTCACAGGGCTCTGGCTGGTCAGGGTCATGCACAAGGTTGTCTGTATTTGATATGCTTTTAGCATTTACTACGAGTATGTCCTGCTCCGGACATGTTAAACAAAGAAGGAAAGAGAAAGTACATCGGGCCCTGCCAAAGGCCCCAAAGTCCACTGGCATTCAAGTTAGAGGAAAGGGGTCCCAGGAGGCTGAGGTTCTGGATAGCCAAGAGCAGCACCCCAGGGAGAGTGGGCTTTCTAACCTGGATGGTCTCACTTCCCAGCCGTGTGGCCCAGAGCCAGGCCTGGCGAGAAACCGTTTTTGTCCACTAAGCAAACAGACTTATGGTGAACTTAGGATTCAGAATACAAAGGGTACTTCCTGTCTCTCCCCATGTAAACCTCCCTCATCCAGCCCATCTCCTGTTGGGATCGACACATTCAGCATCCAACTGCCTTGCTGTCCCAAGAGCCTCATGACCTCACACATTTCTGAGCTGTGGGACTGGCCCGTAAGAACATGAGCTGCTTCCTTCAGTTTGAATCCCTTGACACCCCACAGTGGAGTCCCTGTCACATGTACCACAGTCCCAACCAACAGCCATTAAGATTGCTCGAGTCATTTCTTTTTCTGGTCCACAATCTCTTACCAAAACCATTGCCATCACAGAAGAAGGATAGATGAAATACTTTTTTAAAGGAAGAAAAGCAGTTCCATGCATAGTCCATATATTATAAATAGGGTCAAGAGCAGTGTCTCATAATCAAAGACATTAATAACACCACCTAATTAAGCATAGTGGTACTCACCTGGGATCCCAGCACTTGGGAGGTTGAAGCAGGAGGATGGCACATTGAGGCCAGCCTGGGCTACCTGGCAAGACTTTGTCTCAAATTTTTTTTTCACTGAAAACATGTATAAGTGAAATTAATAAATGTAAACAGCTTGCCATGGCTTTTGGTTTCTTTTTTTTTTCTTTTTTTTTTTTCTTGAGACAGTCTTGCATTTACCCTAGGCTGGCTTGGAACTTACTGTGTGGTCAAGGCTGACCTTGAACTTTCAAAAAATCCCCCTGCTTTTGGGTCCTGTGGCTACTGGGATTACAGGTCTGAGGCCACCATGCCTGGATTCTCTGTTGGGCCTTGACACCTAAGGCGAAGGCCACCGAGCCTGGCTTCTCCGTTGGGCGTTGATACCAAGCGAGCATGTACCACCCAACCCACTGTTTTCTCTTCTTGGGTTTCAGATGCGTAGACAAGGCTCTGCAGACATGGTGGGTGACTTTGGACGTGTGTCGTTTTGCGAGTGTACCTGTAGGATAAACTTGCAGACGGGCAGAGGCCGAGTCACAGGCATTGGTCAGGGCGGGTTTTGCTATGGTGTTTGTTGCCTGTGAGCCGCTACACCTTCTGCCTCTCCAGAAGCTCACTTCAATCTGCTTCTTCTAGGGCAATGATAGCTTTGCTTCTCTCTTCTCTCTGTGCCAGCCCAAATGGAGTCTACAGCCTTCAGCAAAGACAGCCAAGGAGCCGAGTGCAAGCTTTGCCAGGATAGCTCTTCCTTCTGTGAGACTCTGAACACATTATGTATACCAGACCTACACTTCTGTTTCCTTCTCTGTGGAGATGACATCTCTGCCCACTTGGCACCATCCGACAGTTTCTCTCCTGCCCACCCCCGCCCTCAGGGGCTGGGCTTTGCCCTGCCCTTCCTAAAGCGAAAAAGAGTCCAGACCAACAAAAAGGTCCACAGGCTTTTTAATGGTGTAATGGCTACTTCCCTTTCGAGACCCCCACCTAGTTATGACAGCGACTTCCAAGGCGTTGATGTCAGGGGAGTGGGCGGGCACAGGGTGGGCGGAGGCCATGCAATGACTGGGAGGGGTGGCCAAGGACTGGTACATTCTGTTTGGCATGTAAACATTCTTCTGTTGCTTCCCAGGGAGGGGGAGGGCAACTCCCTGTGCCCCAACATATGCCCAAGGGGCTCAGGAGACTGAGCAAGCCAGGCCCCTCAGGAGGAGCTGGAAAGCCAGAGAGCCATGTGCCTGGGGCAGGGCCCTTCTCCTGTACCCCTCTGCACATGGTACGGCTGGGGAGGGAAGGCGCATTAAGGTGAATACACCCCACATCTGAGCCAGTGACTTAAGCAGTCAGGATGGGGACATAAGGGATGGTGGTGGTCGCTTGACACTATCAGAGAGGATGGGTAGGAGCCTGAAGGGCCTACTGCAGGGTGGATGATTCTCAAAGAACAGGCTTCAGCTGGGGGCGGGACATTGGCTTCCTCTGCCCTGGTTCCTTCCTGGGAGAAGCACTTAGTCCCCTCACCACCCACCTCTGCTGGTCCTCTGTCCCTCATTCCTCCTGATGATACTATTGACTCAGAGGCCTGAGGTTGGGTGGAGTCCTGTAGGGGTCTGGAATCCCAAGGGTAGACTGGAGGCCTGAGGTTGAGTGGAGCCTTGTGGGGGTCTGGAATCCCAAGGGTAGACTGGATTTTGCCTCTGCACCAGCTTGATCGCTGGGTGAAGCTGGGGGTGGGGTGAGCCTGGGGCTTTCTCAGGCCTCCCTTTCCTCCCATCTCCAAGCCAGGGTGTTGTCGGCCCTCCAGCAGAAGTGAGACTGTGGGGAGCCCTACATTCACGGTTCGGTTGGTGGCAAGGAGCAGGCCCAGGACCTGGGCACCAAGGGTCATGCCCTGGTCCCCACCTGGCATGAGCTGATTGTCATTCATAGAAGCCCTGGGTAGGAGGAAGTGAACCCTCTACTCCTCTGCTGGGCTAGAGGACGACTAGAGGGGGCCTCGGGGTGACAAAGATAACTGAATCCAGAGAGGTTTCCTGAGTGTTCTGGGAGCTTCTACATCAGTGTGGGATAGACCACAAAGACTATCCACCCTGGTGTCCTCCCCAGACTGGTCTGCAGAGCAGCCTTCTTGGCACAGAAGCAACTGCCCAGACCCTCAGAACTCCATGAGGTCATCTTGGGTGTAGACGTGGCCAGACCGCTGGTCCTCTGAGGCCTCTCTTTCTCCTGAATGCCTTGGTTTGCTCTCTGTGGCTCAGGGAAGGACAGGAGGACCAGAACAGGGGATAGAGGCTGTGGGTGCTTTACAGGAGGCCTGCAGGCAGTCCCTGTCCCAGACAGGAGGGGCTGCCTGTCCCTTCTGCAGTAAGGGTACTGCTTGCCCCAGATGTTAGCAGGCTCCTGATGAGGTGGGCGGGCGAGCTGTGCAGAAGCCAACATGCAGAAGGAGGCCCCATGTCAGGCTCAGAGCAGCTCAGCTGTGTGGGCTGGCTCAGAGCAAGAGGGGCCCAGGGTGAACTGGGGTGGGGTGGGGGTGGGCACCAGTTAGCATCACACACAATCTAAAGTGAGAAGGGCCTTCTGCCTCCGGGAGCCAGTCTGCCTCATCCTGCTTCCTCTGCTGTGTAGGGGGAGGATGCCTGAGCCAGCCCACTGCCCACAGCAGAGATGGCAGGGTGACCAGACAGAGTCCCTGAATCTTCAGATGATCAACACACAGAAGGTGATAAGCAGCCACCCCACCTGCGTGGGATTCTGAGAGGAGAGCTCAGTGAAGCTGAGGTTAGACAGAGGAAGGAATTCCTGATGGCAAGGGGTCCTGAGAACCAGAGGACCCGAGAGCATGTAACCGTAAAGCCCCGTTCCAAACTCCCACTGGGAAACACTCACAGGGAGGCAAACTTCCAGAGGTCCCATTCATTCCTATTCAGCAAAGGTCGAGAGACCCAGGCAGCAGCCCCTCTCGAGAATCATACGACCTGTGCCTCTCATAGAGCTGACTTTAGCCCGACTAGAGGTGTCCCCTTAAACCTAAATAAGCCAACGACCTCTGACTTCCACTTTCCCAATCCCAGCTTGGCCTTTCATGGCCACCATGGCTCCTAGGAGACCGTAGGCGGTCCAGAGACCTCACACTTCTGGAATTTGAGGCTGTTGCTCCTGTTGGGTAGGGTTGGAGGCTGAAGAAGACGGGGATGAGGAAAGGTGGGCCACAAGAGGTGTAAGCAGATGTAAGCCCCTTGGGTGGGGGGCATAGAGATCAGCCAAGACCTGGTGGGAGAAGGGGACAGGCCCTAAAAGCTGAGTCTTCAGGCGATAAGTGCTGAGCCTTCCCGGGGCAGAGGATCTGCTGTGAGCCTGTCCCTGCAGTGGGGCGGTAGGAGGGAGGGAGGACGCAGAGAGACGAACCGAGACACGCACCCTCCGGGGTCAGTGGGCTGGCTGGGCTGCAGGGCGCCACGCGTGCTCACGTGCGTCCTGGCGAGTGCAGGCGGGAAGCTGGGGCCGCGGTGGCGCGCGGGCGCGTAAGGCTGTGCTGGAAGCTGCTCCAGTGTGGCCAGCTGCGGGTGGGGACCGGGGTGAGGGTAGGGGGCGCCGCAGAGAGCCGCAGGCCCGTGTCATTATCTGTTCCCGGGCCTACCCTCCGAGACTGCCGCCCGGCCTTTGGTTGCTGCGCGCTGAGTCTGCAGTTGTTTCCCTCTGGGTCCTTTCTTGGGGGCCCCTGGGGAGGCCTCGGGCTGAGATCTGGACTGGAGGACCCCCCGAGAGGGAGGGGCGCTGGGCCGAGCTTGATGCGACGGAGAGGAGCTCTCTTTGCGGGGCAGGGACTGGCTCCGCGGGGACCCGCTGGGGTTGCGCGAGGTGGAGGCGGGGAGGCCGGGACTGCGGGGCGCTGCAGGCTTGGAGACTTGGGTGCGAACTGGACCGGGACCCCGGCTCGCGGAGTATTTGGGACGGAGGTCAGCAGCAGTGGCCGACCCTGAGGGCTTCTGTAGCTGGAGCCTGCTGAGGGGCAGAAGGCAAGAGAAAAGGACCGGGGTGAGGGACAAGGAGGGACATTTTCAGAATGTCTTTGAGCACTGAGCCCTGCATCGTCAAAGCTGGGAGGGATGGAAGAGGCCAGGCACAGATGAATAAACTGGCCGGTGTTCCACCCTGCAGTGCGGGACCTTTTGGGCTATGACTGGAGGTTTTCCTTAAGAGTCATGCGTCATCTTTAAAATTCCCATGGGTTTTGCATTCTAATCTAGAATGTGCTTATGTTAATATCAATACAAAATACTATTTCATGCCAGTTACTGGAGGCCCAAGACTTTTACCCTTTGGTTTCCAATGTCCCATGGCATACCAGGAACTGTATGTGGGCTCGCTGGTCTCCTGCAGCCTTCCCTGGTCCCACCTCACAGTATCCCCACTAATCACGCTGTTCCTGTTCCCTTGAGCCCAGTGACAGAGCTGACACTTAAGTCACAAGTTACAGTGCCCAGATGGGAGAGGTATCTGAGAGTGTTATAGCCCCTAACGTTGGTTCGGAGAAGTTCCTGGAAGCCTTCTGTGGCCACTCTACCCACAACCAGTCCTGGCACCGTTTCTCACCTGCTGGTAATGGCCACGTCAGCCGCTGAGGCCGCACCATGGGGTCTGCCAGGAAGCTGCTGCCCTTCCACAGGCGTGGGCACACCGATGGGGCGTGGAATCCGGCTCCGGGTGGTCACTGCCCGCCCAGCCTTCCTAGGCAAGGCTGCCGTGGGCTCTGAGGCAGGTGTATCCTCCTCAGAGCCGGTGCCAGAGAGTGTCTCAGAGGCACGGCGCTGCTCCTCGCTAGAGGAGGACGAGGCTCCTGAGGCCAGCCTCAGCAACAGGCGACCCTGCCTCTTCTCCATCACCAGCCGTGCCAGGTCCTGCTGGGGCCTGGCCCTCTTGCTCCACCGCTCTTTGGCCGACAGGGAGCCCGAAGGCTCCGAGCCTGTGTCCTCTTCAGACAACAAGACAGGAATGCGGCTCCTGGGGCGAGAACCTGGCATAGCATGGCGGCTGGGGGAGACAGTGGTCCCTTTCTTGGTGAGTGGCTCCAGTGGGGATGCTGGAGCTGGCCCCTCAGCAAGGGCTGCGCCATTGGGCAACGAGTCTGTGACTACTTCTGAGGGTGTTTCCCCCGGAAAGCCAGACAGGACACAACTCTCTGTCTCAGTTCCATCCAGCCCTGACAAAGCCAGGCCATTCTCCAGAGGCACTGGGGCCCCCTCCTCTGCAGTGGCCCCCTCAGAGAGTATCTCCAGGCCCAGCTCACCCCCAGTGCTGAACTCGTCTGGCCTGGAGGCCTGTCCTCCGGAAGACATGACATTGAGGTGGGATTTCTCCGCAATGTGAACAAAGGTCCTCTCGACTTTGGTGAAGGGTGAGGAGGTGACTGCCACCGCCCCACCAGTGGCCACTGGCCCAACCCCAAGCCCTGCTCCAGGTCCTGAGGGCTTGGGTTCAGACTTGAGGATAGAGGACAGGGTGCCCGGCTCCGATACATCCAGCTGACTTCCAGTAGGCTGGGGCTGCTCCTGCTGAGGGGTGAGCGCGGCCAAGGTGCCCAGATCAGGGTCAGGGGCCAGTTCGGCAGTGACTGGCGACTTCTTCATGTCGCCAGGGGAGACGAGCACCAGCGTTTTGGAGCCCTCCTCGGGCTCCAGGTCCCCATCAGCCACAGACCGGCCCCTGGCCTCTTTCTGATCATCAGCCAGCAGTGTGGATGGGGCCCCCTCCTGGCTCCGTTCAGTGCTCCGCTCGCTGGCCTCACTGCTAGAACCACTCCGAGGCCCCAGCACCTCCCCCAGGGCCCCTGCCTCCTCCTCCTCCTCTTCATCTTCCTCCTCCTCTTCCTCCTCTTCCTCCTCTTCTTCGTTTTCTTCCTCCTCCTCTTCTTCTTCCTCCTCCTCCTCTTCTCCCTCCTTTCCATTGGCCTGAGGCTGAAAGGGAGCCAAGGGGACTTGTGGGGCAGTAAGCAGCATGTGCGAGAAGCCCACCCTCCGGACCCTGTTCAGCAGCCGGGCCCGTTCTCGATAATCAGAGAGGTCTCTCTTGAAGTCCTGGTATGGCAAGCCCAGAGGCGCAGCTCGGGGGAGTCCATTCACCTCAAGTGGGGGCGCCACAGAGAACACCTGTAAGGGGCACACACAGGGACCCACTGAGGTCACCCACCCTCCTGGGCCCCAGGAAGCCTCACCTGTACCCTACATCAGGAGACTCCCCCACCAGGGATACCTGCCAGAAGGTAGACAATGGGTCCTCAGGCCCTAGAATGATCCTGGCTCAGGGAATCCCGGTCCGAGGGACAGATCCCAGTGACTCTTCTCTCTCCCTACCCTCTCCTCCCCTCATCAGACAAAGTCAACTTTAGGGTATGAAAATAGCAGAAAATAGCCAAAAAGAGGGAGCATCTGAGAAACTGGGGGGGGGGCTGTGTCATTTTCTGGGACTTCTCTATGCTCACAGATGTCCAGGGCGGGGCCTCTGTAGCCGCCACCCTCCCACACTGCGGTGTGAGCAGGGTCACGGGAGCACTACCCTCTTCCTCCTGTCCTCCTCTGGCCTGTCAGCAAGAACTATGTTCAGCCCTATCTCCCAGGAACTCAGTAAATTTTCCTCTCTGTGGATGGATCCTTTGGCAACCCCAGCATGGCTGAACCTCTTCCGGCTGTTAGACTTCCCCCATATCCTCTCTATTTCCTCTCTTCTGGAAAGGCCTGGCCTCCTTGGCAGAACTGACTCTCCTACACACTTGGTCCCCTCTGTCTGTGCCCCCAGGCCATTCAACAGCATCCTCAGATGAGGATGTGCCCCCTCCCACATCACAGAACTATATAACCATCTCAGTGTCTGCCCCCACAGAGTGCCCATGGACCTTTTCCCTGCCAGTCTAGTATTCCACAGCCACCAACCTGTTGTCTCAGTCCTGGCCTGGCCAGCCATCTTCCTTACAACTGCCTGAGTGAACTTCCTGAAACTCAGATCCCATTGATCTCTGCCACCTCCCACCCCCACCTTGCATCCTACCTTCTCCTTACTACCCCGCCCCTGCCCCCATTTAAGCTCTAGCCATTGGATGTTATCAGCATCTCCCTGGGTGGGTCATGTGTCTCACGCTTGGGTCCTCATGACAAATCACCGTTGTCTTTCAACAGCTCTCCAAAGCCTCCTGTTCATCAGCTTCCCTTTCTCCCTGTTTGCAGATCCTTTTACGTGTTTCTCTGGCGCTCTCTCTCTCTCTCTCTCTCTCTCTCTCTCTCTCCCTCCCTCCCTCTCTTGTAAATGAAGTCCCTGGGGGGTTTTCTTGTTGTTCATTCATTCACTAGTCCTTAACCGCCTGTAGTGGTGCACACTCATAACCCCAGCTCTCAGGAAGCAGAGCAGGAGTTCAAGGCTAGACTTGGCAGCAGAGTGACCTTGAGGTCAGCCTGAGCTATCCCCGACTGGGGATCCACCCCTAAACAGAGAACTGTAGACAACTAAAGACAGCTGAGAGGCAGAATTGCTCTTCCCCAGGGATCAGCTCAGATTGCCCTGAACAGACAGGCAATGCTAAATGAAATTTCTATATTCATGTGTGTGTGCGCATGTATGTATAAGAAAAAAGGTCAAAGAAACTAGGCCATCAATTTAAAAGAGTAAGATGGGATACAAGAGGAATTGGAGGGAGGAAAGAGAAGGGGAAATGATGTCATTATATTTCAATTTAAAAAAAAAAAGAGTGGGGACTGGGGGCAGATGACTCAGTTGGTAAAGTGTTTGACACCTAAGCTTGAGCCAGGTGCGTGGTGTGCGCTTGTAATCCCAGTGCTGGGGAGAGAGAGACAGGTGGGTTTCTGGATCTCACTGGCCAGCCTGCCCAGCCTAGCCTGCAAGTCCCAGACCCAGTGAGAGACCCTGTCCCCAAACCCACACTGGATTGCTCAGGAATGATGACTAAGGTTGATCTCCAGCTTGCACACATACACAAAGTGTCCTGGTTTTACGTTAGAAATCTCTGGGTCAGGTCGTGAATAATGCATTTATTTGAGTGGAGCAAGGGATCGCCACACAAGGAAAAGAACCGGGCATAATGCACACCCCCACAAAGGTTCTGAGCATAAAGGGGGTCAGGCTTGCAGACAGCTCAGAGTATCTGCCCACTCCCCTTTGCTCTGCTCACCCTGGTTTATGGACCACGACCCCTCCCAACCTCACCATGACTTTTGGAGTGTAGGCAAAGGAAATGCCCAGGAGGTAGCATTGGTGCATTTGGCTCTGAGGCTGGCGGAGAATGAGACTGGGGTCTTCAAGGCTGAGCATCCGCCCAACTGGTGGCTTCCCCTCCTCAGCTCCCACCATCTGCTGCATAATCTACTGCCTTTGAGGACTCAGTGTGGGAGTAATAGTAGGAAGATAGCCTAGGGCGGGTGTGCTGGCACACACCTGTAACCCTAACACTGGGGACACCGAGGCTGGAAGATTGCTGGGAGTCTGCAGGCAACCTGGGCTACTTAGTGAAATCAAGGACAGCCAAGGCTAGATGGTGGGACTGTCTTAAGAACACCAAAAGAGGGGATGGGGAGAGGGCTCAGTGGTAACATGCTTGCATAGACATGGGGACCTGACTGATCACTAGTGCCCAAGCAAAAACCCAGCATGTAGTGGCACCTGCCTCGAGGGTGGATGGAGACAGCCTGGGGTAGGGGTGGAGACAGGGAAACTTCCCTAGCTGGCTGACCAATCAGTCTAACCAATAGATGAGCTCTAGATTCAGAGAGAAACCCTGCCTTGAAAAATTAGGTGGAGGGTCTGGAGAGATGGCTCAGCAGTTGGGAGCACTTGCTGCTCTTGCGGAGAACCCAGGCTGGTTCCCAGCACTCGTGTGGTGGCTCGCAACCATCCATAGCTCCAGTTCCAGGGAATCTGGTGCCCTCTTCTGACCTCTGTGGGCCTCAGGCACACACGGTGCACATACATACATGCAGGCAAACACTCATGCACATAGAATAAATAAATCGGGGTTTTGTTCTTAAAGTAAGTTGGAAAGTGATAGAGGAAAATGCCTGACTTTGACCTCTGACCTCCACGTTCATGTGTGCACTGTTGTGTAAACACCTGTGCCTTGGTCACTGTCCTCTTTACACCCTGCTGAAGTCCCCAGTAGCTGTTTTCTTTTTGTCCACACTATCTTTCCATTCTTCATGTCATCCACTCACCTAGCAAACACACCAAGGTACTGACTGTGCTGTGCCCCCATGACATGCCTTGCCAATGTTAGAGCTATGGAGCTGGGCAAGTGGGCAGAGCTGCTCCAGGGGCGATGGGGATCACGGCCAGGCAAATGTACTGACAGCCAAGGACAGGAAGATACTTGGGAGCTTCACGCAGGCCTTCCCACCTAGTGCCAGACTCGCCCGACCCCTCAGCACCTCCCTACTGAGCTGCTGACTTCTTATCCCATTTCTGAGGTCTTGAATGATTCTGTTAGGACCACCTTTCTCCTACACCTGGTCCCATGCTGGTGACACCCACCCCTCCCAGCAGCTGGATAACGCAGGAAAAGTCCTTGCCTTCCATCTGGGCCCCTTTACCCTAGTTGTCTGGGAAGGAGGAGAACTGAGGGCCAACCAGGCCAGCGAAGCAGCAAGAGGCACTGACCAAGCATTGGGTCAAACTGGAAAATGTGTTGACAAGGGCTACCAAGACCCTTCCCTAGTGCCTGTCTCACACACAGGAGAATGGAGGACCTTCTGCATTTGGAGGTCAGGGAAGGAGCTGCAGATCTTAGAGCTATGTCAACATGATCAGGGCCACCCACACTAGCCTGGGTACACTGGGTTTTCTGTTTACATCCTCCTGGCCCCTCTCCCGCCTACTATCCTGTTAGGAAGGAGTTCCTGCCTCAGACAAGACCAGAGCACTCTTCCTGCCTCTCCCGGGATGGCTAGTGAGCTATTTGCCCTCTTAGCTACCAGTCTGCTTGTGTCCAGGACACTGTGCTTGGCCATGGGAGCCTGAGGAAACTGTGGGAGAGGCAGTACGGTGAGGAGGCTGCAGCCCAGCTCTGAGGTGTGCCGGCGAGTGGCAGCTGGCTTCAGGAGAGCACATCTTTCACCAGGGCAGTGACCTTTATGATTCTCCCTCGTTTGTGTAGGCGCCCAGGCCCTGCCCTGGCACTACTCATCCTGCTGATTTGAAGCTCCCTGGTTGCCAGGCATGGTGGCACACAGCTTTAATCCCAGTACTGGGGAGGCAGAGGCCAGGGGTTTCTGTGAGTACAAGGTCAGCCTGGTCTACATAGTAAGTTCCAGACCAAACAAGACCCCATAGTGAGAGTGAGACTGTTTCAAAGGCAACAAAACAAAAACCCCAGCTCTGGGTGATCCAGAGTTCATCAGAAGGTGGTGTGGGCTGCTTTATGACCCGTGGGGAAGCAGGCCATTCAAGCCTAGATCCTCAGAGCAAGCAAAAGCCCCAGGTTTCTGCTCTCTCCACTGTTCCCTGAGGCCTGAAGCTCTCCCCTTTGAAGTCAATGTCCACTCCCTCAGGGCCACCTGCAAAGAAGGGGAAATGGCTAGAGCTGGTCTCCCTTTCCTACTGATCGAGCTGGTCTCTCTTGCCTGGATCCTGGCCAAGCCATACCTGGAAATACACTCCAGCTCAAAGTCTCAATGTTGTGGGGTGTGAAACAGACTGAGAGACAAAAGCCAAAGGGTTAGCTGGCACCCCCCCCCCCCCCACACACACACACACTGACCAGGGGAGGGATGTGTGCCTTTTAGGGCTGCCTCTGTTCCGGAAGGTGGAACATGCTCCTCCACCCTGGCCCCCAGCCATGGCAGCAATGCCAGGCCTGAGAGGAAAGGCCATGAAGACCACCTAGTCACTGGCAGCTCTTCCACTACATCTGCTGCCTCACTGGCCTGCCTCAGTCTACCTGCTCTCCCCCCTGAGTGTTTCTGAATGCAAAGAGCCCTCCCATCACTCCACCCCTCCCCCCCCCAAGAAAGAAACCCTGCCCCCAAGATGGCTACTCAGGCCAGGGAGGAGGTAGATGGAAACAAGGCTACCAGGTCTACTCAGACCTCACACACATGACTAGATCTCAATGTCTTCCTCCACATGCTCCCCTCATCTGCTCTAGGATCCA